CGCCAAATGAAAAGATGGGTTCTGAAAGAGGGACTGGGACCTGGGAAGACTTCCTTCCAACAATGTCGTCATCCCCAGAAGGGCGTGCTTGGAGCATAATGGCTCTAGCTACAAATTCTATTAACTCTGATAGTTGTTCTGAGTGAGTGGATAATGCATTTAGCAGAAATAGACCCAATCAATTTATATGAAACACATAGAACTTTCTCATTGGAATTGGCATCTGTTCTTGAATCATAGGAGCACGTGTGGAAATGGGCAGTCTGTCACCATGACTTCTGGGCACATTAGCGGAGCCATGGGTTAATGGAAGAGAAGGACCAAGGAAAGCTACGGTTCCTTTACTCCAGCTTGCCTCAGACCCTGGAATCATGGAGCTGGGAATGAGAAAGGACTGGAATGCTTTAAACCTTAACTCTCTCTCTCTCTCTATGTACATGTACATGCATGTGTGCTGATTGATGAATGTGTGCATGTGTGTTTACATGTGTGTGTAGGTACATGTCCACACATGTGCAGGTGTGTTTGCATTTGTGTATGCAGATGCATGCGCACCTGTGTGCACATGTGAGCATGTGTGTATATACGCATGTGCACCTGTGTGTGCATGAGCGTGGAAGTCAGAGGTCAACCTGTTTCTTAGGTGCCTTTCATCTTGTTTCTTGAGACAGGGTCTCTGATTTGTCTGGAGCTCACTGATTTGATTGGCTGGCTGGTTAGCTGGCTCCAGTACCTCGCCAGTTCTGGGGTTACAGTATGGTTAAAATATGGGTTCTGGAGATTGAGCTCAGACCCTATTGCTTCTGTGGTAAGCACTTTCCCGAGTCATCGCCTCAGTCTCAAACTTGGAATGCGTAGAAAGAGTGGGCACTGTGTCCACACGAGCCTCTCCCATATGAGCCATCCCTGCGTGTTTGCTGGCATGTATATGAGGCTGGATTACCCTAGGATCATGGCTAGTGCGAATGTGCCAGGCCATAGCATGGAGGTTCTGACTCCTAGGCCAGGCTTCTTTTCCTTTCAGGACTATATAAATGTATATCCTATATCAAGATATATATATATATATATATATATATATATATATATATATATATATAATCATCACCACCACAACCACCACCACCATCACCACCACCACTAGCATGCGCGCGTGTGTGGGCCCAGGTCATGGTGTTTGTGTACAGGTCAGAGGTCAACTTTCAGGTATTGGTTCTCTTCTTTCATGCCAGGTTCCAGGGATCAAACCTAGGTCACAGGCTTGCACAGGAAGTGCCTTTTACCAGCTAAATCATCTCACTGACTCCGGATTCTACACGGGTTTGTTTTTCTCCCTCTTTGTTCATGTTGTATACTTGGAAATGGTAAACAAACCCAGGGCTAGATTTGGAAGAGGCAAGGTTGTGATTTTTTTTATTTTGCCAAAATTCCAAAATTGTGGCATTACGTTTCCCTTGATCCTACCTATACTGCACCTGAGCCCATAGTAGAAGCGAGAAGGGTACAGGGCCCTGAAGCTTTCAAATCCTCAGCTGAACATTTCAGGGAGGGAGGGTGGCAGAGCTTGACTGTAACCCACTCAGTGGCAGCATCATCTGTTACCACGAGGGACAGAGACAGAGACTGAGGTGGGGACAGGGGCAGGGAGGTGGAGAGAGTCAGGGCTGGAGGGAGAGGGAGAGAGAAGAGCCCGACTCTGTAGCCCTAATTGTATTAGCCCGACCATTTGGTTAGTGTAATTGCACGTGCAAAGCTGAGAAACATAATTTCCTGGGACTTAATACTCGCCCCATTTTCTCCTCCAGCTTCTTCATCTGATTAACTAAAGTGACTCAGAGGCTTCCGAGAAGGCCGTGTGTGCCAACCACCTGGCCACCTGGTCAGGCTTTCCCCCTGCGCCTGGGCTGGAGACTCCCCTGGCTACCCACTCCCCTGGAGTGGGCCTGGATGGCTTGGGAGGGTGGTACACAAGGAGTTTGGGGAGCATTGGGAGTAACAGCTTTCTCAAGGCCGGGTTTCATTTGGCTTTTGTGCGTTCAGTCGCTTCTGTGCTGACTGCCTGAAGGACAGCAGAAATGCCACCCACCACCCCTGTTCCAACTCAGCGCAAACTGACAGCGCTGAACTTTGGAGAGAAAATCTTATTATCTTGTCGCCTCGATTCTTTGTCAGAGGGTCGGGAGCTGTTTACAGCTCACGCAGGGGCTCTTCTCTGGGACCGTCCCCCCACTTCCTTCCCACACAGCCCTTCTCTCTGATTGGAGATCTCTCTACTGGCAGTAGCAGAGCTGGTGCAAAGATTATAGACTTTGGGTTTCACATCCTGGGTCCCCTTCCTAGCAGATATGTACTCACCATCTTTTAATCCACCTTTTTTCCTCCCTTCAATCAGAGTAGAAGTGACCACCCTCACGCCACTGTGACATCAAACTGCCTGGTGGCAAAGCCTAGCTCAGGGGCAGGCATTGTCTGATTTCCTCGCCACTTCCCCCTCTCCTCCCTTTATTGTTGCTTCTCTTTTCTTTCCATCCTCCCTTTCCCTCCTTTCCCTCGCCCTCTTCTAGCTTTCTCCTCCCAGGGCAATGCCCTGAGTTTTGATCAAACCAGACACCGCAGACATATCTTGCTGGCCCACCAGCTACTCTCCTACCCTGGATGGAAGCTTCAGAATGTCCAGTACTGCTGGACCTCCTCCCTGCTATGGTACACACAGTGATGGCTACAGGGAAGTACCAGGACTGTGCACGCTGAGTGCCCCATCCCTGCCTTTCCAGGAGCCTCTCCCCGCCCTCCTGCTCTGGTTACATTGTCTACCTGTCTTTCCTTCTTCCAGACTATGAGTTCTTCGTGCTGCATCCTGGAGTTGTGCTGTTCAGTGACTCTGAGCACAGAATGGGTTGCAGAAGAAATGCGTAAGAACAGCAGTTGGGTCTGGATGAATGTCGGGTGAGTCCCGGACTAGATAGGACTCTCCCCACTGGCTATATGGCTAATTCTAGTGGAAGTGGCCTTCTTTCCAGAAAATTTGTCGCCCCCAAACAGACGCCCTTTGCACTCTAATACACATCTAAAGGGATCTACACTGAGAGGGGACTAGGGAACCTGAATCGTAATGGAGACAAATACATCCCACAATAGAGCACATGAGGGAAGGGTTGTGTGAGCTGAGCCCCCTTTCTTTTACCTTAAGCAGCTCCCGATGTGACACTGGGTTCTTGGGAGAATAACGGCCCCAAGTTCAGGGTCCTAGAGCATTTTCAGCGAACCTCAAGGCCACCCCTAGACAACTTTGGTTCAATACCTTCTTTTTCCCTCTGACCTGGAGTCAGTTGTTCGGAGATAATGCTACTCACTAGGGTAGCCCTCTGGGAGCTGTCTGCTTCTAATTCTGTTTGGAGATGGTGGGGACTCATAGGCCTTTCCCAGCTCCCATGGGATTTTGTTTGTCTGAGTGGCCAAAGGGCCCTAATTGATTATTCTTTTGGGGACAGTGGGAGTTATGTGCTAAGGAGCCCAGACTCAGGGCTGGGTGGACCACTGCTCCCTAAGTGCTGGTTGTAGTGTTGTGGCTGTTGACATCAGACAACTGGCTCAAACTTCCAGATTCCCACCAGCCAATCAGTAGATGTTTCTGGAGTCCTGGTTGGTGACGAGGCCAGGGTGGGAGTTGCCACCATGCGTACTTAGCACAGGGAATGGAAAGGGAACGGTGCTCCCCTTCCTGAACTGATGGAATTGCAAGGTGCACAAGCTTATAACAAGGCAGTATACAGAGGTGAGTCCCCCAGGTGTGGGTGACAGGAAGGGACACTGAACAGATTTTTGGGAAGGGCCCTCACTCCGCAGGGTATAGTGTTCTCTAGGTTAGGTTCCCAGGTACACTGTGGGAGGGTCGAAAAGTTTTTTGGGGGAAGGGCTTTAAGGGTAAAAAGAGACACAACCCCCCGTTTTTTCAGCTTGGTAGCTGACCAGATCAGGCAGGAGCCATGAAGGAGTCACAGAGAGCTTCAAGGAGCTTTTGTCTCTTGTTTCACAAATAAAGCAAAACTAAAAGCTTGCTAATGAGCAGAGAGCTAACCAATTTGGTGTCAAAGATACACGCTTCTAATTAGTTTGTACTTTGAACAGAACCAGGATTCTATCTTGTAAGGAGAAATTAGAGATTTATCATCTATATGCCGCTATTCTAAAGAAGATGTATACAACAGGATGTGGCGGACTGTGTACCGTACCTGCTTCTCATGTGAGAAGTGTCAGTACCAATGCACCAAAGCACGCAGGGGATCTTGGACACACTTTGATAGGGCTTAGAAACCAAGATCCATGGTGTGTGTGTGTGTGTGTGTGTGTGTATTGTGTGTGTATATGTGTGTATGCACATGCATGCAGAGTCCAGAGATTGATTTCAGATAATCTTATTGATACAAGGTCTCTTCCTTAATCTAGAGCTCACCATTCAGCAAGACTGGTTGTCCATGAAGCTATGGGCACCCTCCCGTCTCCATCTCCCCAGGGCTGGGATTGTGTCATTATGACTGGCTCTTTGCATGGGTACTAGGGATCTGAACTGGGCCCTGGGTACTGGAACTTGTATATCAAGCACTTTACACCTCCCTAGGTCCCTAAAGGTGAAGCCCAAGTTGGCCTCAAGTTCACGATCTTCCTGTTTCCACCTCTATAGCATTTGCCTACTGGTGTGTGTCATAACAACTGGCTGTAGCTTGACCCTCCCTGCCATTGTGTGTTGGGTTCCCCAGCGAAAAGTTCCTCTTTTGTATATTTTTAGTAGTTAGGTCTCAGTGCCATTGCTCGGGGGATGAGAGAGCCACACAGCTTCTTTCTGGGGTCTCATAACAAAAGTGGTGATGCCTCTCCTGGAGACCAGCCATTTTCTTTTAACCACAGTACCCACCCCAATCACAACACAGGCCATTCTTTTGCCTTCGGCAGCAAGAAATAATGCTGTTCAAATTTTCTGGTTGTGCCAGAATAACCCTTACCTGTAGGGTCAAAGATGGGAGTCGGTCCTGATATGTTTGCCCAGGATTTTGGCTCCTTGTTTGGATTTTTCTCAAACAGATTTCTGGATTTGGGTACTGCATTTGAGGGCATTTTCTCCTCCCCACTGACTGGAATAGAGAAGAGCCAGTGGGCTGAGTTAGGCGGAGTCAGTTGTGGGGAGAGAGAATAGGTTGAAGTGGGGAAAGCAGAAGAGGCAAGATGGCTAAGATTGGGGGTCTAGAGAAGACACCATGGGTCACTGGGTTAAGGGAACAAAGCATCAGAGGAACAAAACTCACTAGTGAGGTAGCAGTCGAGGCTGATGGAAATGTTGTCAAATGCCACTGTTGCCCCGGATCCTGGACCCCACCACGTGACTATCTGCAGCCAGAACCTGTATGGTGTTAAGAAGAACGAGTGTTAGGAACCACTAGCATAGGTAAAGTCCTAGGCGTCATTGGCAGTAGGCGTGTTCTGCGGGGCAGAAATTTAGCTTAATCAGCCTTACCTCTCTTCCGAAAGCAGCGGTAAGAGGGCAGGACTCAACCTCTCCCGACTTCTACTTCTCCATCACGGAAGCATATCCCTTTCTTTAGGGGTGCTCCATCCTGAGTATGACCATTATGCAACTTTTAGAGCCAGTTTGGAGTTCTGAGCTTGGGAGACGTTTGCTTTCTGGGCATGCATGTTGGGTAGAAATGCATGGTGGCTGGGTATTGTGCTCATGCTCACCCATGGGCAGGCTGAAGTCACTATTTAAACATTAAAGTGCTTTTGTATGATAGTAACTGATGGAGAACTCCTCAGTGTCTCTGTTGCTTCAGGCAACGGGGCTCCCCCCCCCCCCCCCCCGCGGTTTGACCCCATCAACCAGCAACTACAGGGTTAATTTCTTGCACAACAGAGGCATCCTGGTGCTTGTCCAGTGTCGGCTACTGCTTTCTGACTGGTGGTTAAATATCAGATGATCGACTGTTTCCCCTGGGAGTGTTTGTTATCAAGCCACAGTGGGTCATGACAGTAACTCACTGAGATCATGTTTCTTCCCAGCCATTTCATGGCTTAGAGTGCAGGTCCTCTGACTACAGTCAGGGAAAGCATGAGGCTGAGATAAACAGAAAGCTGTCACGGACTCATTTGTTTCCTGGTTTGTTTTCTTGGGAAATCTTCCTGGAAGGCTACTACCATCAGTCAACCTTCCCCTTCTGCGATAAAGTGACCGTGTCCTGAGAACCCTAAGCACTCTTTCCCTAGATTCCAGAAAACCCCGATGAATAGAGCGCAGTGCCTGCTGTGGGGGTTGAAATGGTAAGAGAGGAAAGCCATGGCTGTCAATCATTGATGGGATACAGCGCATGTGGTTATCCAGCCACACATTGGGATGCTAATCTACAATAAAAAAGAACGGACCAGGAGACACGCTGTAAGATAGATGCCTCTCAAAAGCATTATGCAAAGTTAAAGAAGGCAGACAGTAAGCTAAAGACCTCATATTGAGCGATTCTCTGGATAGGAATCATCTAGAAGAGGCAAATCTGTAGAGACAGAGAGCAGATTAGTGCTTGCCTGGGGCTAGCAGGGGAGCAATAGGGACTGCTAACTAGCACAAAGCCTCATTTTGGGGTGATGAAATTGTTCTAAAACTGGGTTGTAGTATTCTTTGTAGAATTCTAGAAACTTGCCGAGAGTCAATGACTTGCACACTTAAACATGGGTAAATGTTATGGCATGTAAATTATCGCTTGCCAAAACTGTTGGCGAACAAGGAGGGAAAATGGGAGAGAGAGAAAGAGAGAGGGGGATGAGAGGCAGACAGACAGGAGAGAGAAAGATCTATCTATCTATCTATCTATCTATCTATCTATCTATCTATGTAATAGAGAGAGAGAGAGTGCAGACTCTCTGATAATGTGGGCCAGGGTAGGAAGTGAACAAGGAAAAAATTACTCTTTGGGGAGGTGGAAGAGGCATACATGAAGAAATGTCAGGGGAAGGTCTTTTCTTCTAGACATCAGCTCAAGAAGGGAATGAAGTGTCCCTGCATGTTCAACCTGGGTCACATGCAGTCATGACCCAACACAGAATCACAAGCTTACAGACAACATTATGAGGCTCTTTTCAAGCAATTATCCTTTTTATTTTTTTGTAACTTGATCAAGCTTTTTTTGAGTGTGAACGTTGTAGATGGCAGTGTCCTGTTCTGATGTAACAAGGCTGGACATGCCTGGATGGTGAACTGCATCCAGGTGGAAGCTCCCATCATAGCTGAGCTTGTAACCCTGGTCAGCACTTAGAAGGGATAGACAGTGGCTTACATCTTTCTGTCCAGAGGACAGTTATTGCTCCACTCTCCAAATCAGATGTGAACTTTTATCTAAACAATGTGTTTGTGGCCAATTATTCTCCACTGCTCTATCCCCACATCTGCCTGTGCCTTCATTTATCTTGTAAAATCTTGTCAGATACAGCCTTTTCGGTCTAAAGGTCACAATTAGAAAGCCCAAGTGCTTTGTTTTTAAAATAGAAATGTCTGTTGTTCGAGGCCCTTCTCAACTACACAGCGAGTCTGAGGCCAGCCTAGGCTATGTGAGTTCCTGTCTCAAACGAAACAAAACATTGTGAATGAAACAAAAATTATTATCATTATTATAAATTAATGAAATGTGACTATAAAGAATCGTGTTCTTTGGTTGGGAATGTAAGATACCCGGCACTGTAGTGGGCGTTGATCCCATAACAACCTACATTCTCATTCTCCTCTCTGGTCCTCCTCTCTTTATCCATTACCAATAGGCCGAGGGCACATGTTGGTTTTGTGCTAAGCTGCATCATCAGTACATTGCCTAAAGGGACTTTGCAAAGAGATAAATGAGTCTTGTGACTGCAGAGCAGGGGGGGAGACAAGATCTCCACTGCTCTCGCCACGGACCCTAGTGGAAACCGCTAGTCTCCTCGCTTGCTCCGTTTTCCTGCTTTCATTCTCAGCAAAGTTCCCTCGCAGCCACCAGGCCTCTTTGCATGGATGAGAGATACAAGCTGGGGCTGCAGGGGTTTTATATATGAGTCTCTAAAGCATTCCGCAAGATGTTGGCCGTAGAAGTTGCTGTGTGAAAACATTCAGTTGACGGTGGGAATTGCCCATATTTTGTGTCGGGGGCACTGAGGACAGGCAGGGAAGACCCTGTCAGATGACACCATGAGCACGTGTGATGCTGCTTCTGTCCACTCTAGAGACTCAGTAAGGGACAGGTGGGACCAGGGTAGATGAAGGTCAGATGGAGGTAAACAGGTATGGCAGGACAGAGGGGAAGCAGACCTAACGTGGGAATAGCAGGTGGTGAGCAAAGAATGTGGAAGAGCGCGAACACTCGGAGTTCATCGTCTATGAGGGAGCTGGCCACGAGACGAGGTGGGCATTAATTAGGCCAGCTGTGGTTTAGGATTCTCTACTTTGGATGCTGTCTGGTTGAGTGCCTTCAGCAGAACCACAGAAGAAGAGGCTCTCATAGCCTCTCCCGGTTGGATATGGGCAAGATTTCCTTGGGGGTTCCGAGTTTATCCAGTCCGATTACTCTTTTATGGCCAGTTTCCCAAAGATACAGATGCCAGGTCATTTCTCAGAGTGAGCCGTGGCCTCGGGCCTTAGGTTCTAGCACTTACTCTTATGCACAGGTAGAACATTCTAGGACGATGGCTAGCAAGGGCCATGGCGTATTATTGCTAAAACCACAACAGACTAACAAAAATGCCGGTTTCCCCTGCCCCAACACTTTCACTCTTGATAGTAAGGGAAGTGTTATCTCCCCTCTCAAGTAGGGCTTCTGGTTAAGGAAAAGGTAGAGTAAACATTTGGGGCTCCTCCTGCTATCTGAGAGCCTGGCAGGTGGGACTCCCCTTTCTTTGGCTGTGTAGAGTTGGCTGCCATCCCCGTAACTGTAACTATTGATCTGCTTGGTTCTTTCTGTTTCTCCAAAATAGATTTGTGAATGCTGGAGTTGGTGCTGATTTTCTTTCTTTCTTTCTTTCTTTCTTTCTTTCTTCCTTGCTTCCTTTCTTTTCTCTGTCTAAACCAGCTTTGGCTAGAGATCTTGGCTCAAGCCTGTTTTTGCATAAGAATGCACCCACCTTTTCTTCTTGTGTAAGCTTTACAGACAGCCTGTTGAAAATTAGCCCAGGGGGATTCTGGGAGGTGATACTTTGGGCCCCTGGCCAGGTTTCCAGGAGGCAGGTCTGGAAGTGGGTGTTCTCTGAACTCACGGGGCAGATCCTTGCCGAGGATGTGTGGATGCTGCTCACGCACAGCCCGGAAAATGCACCGTCTCTTTCAGGCAACAGACTGTTAATGGGCAGTGAATATGAGGCCTTACTCGCCATCCTCCCAGCCTCAGGGATTGACAAACCTAATTAAGTTCACTTAATGATTCTAAGTAGCTGACAAAAAGGTGTGTGCCTGAATGTAGACGGAGGGAATAACAAGGCTTTGGTGAGAGAGGCAAAGAAAGCCGGATGGTGTAAGAGGCGTGTGATGGATGGGCACCATAGCTCAGACTCCTTCCCTGCCCATTTAGTCGGATCTGAAAAAAAAAGGGGGTCCATTTTCACAGCTGGGGCTTGTCTGGGATCTGGCTGCTTAGGACAGGACTGGCAGATGCTGCCGAAAGAAAACCACTTTCTCCCATTTCTTATTGCTCAGTTGATTTGCGCAGTAAAAGTCTTCTGAAATGGACTGTCGCAAAGCTGGGGTTGTGGTGTGCATGTCTATTAGAATAACGTCTGCAATGGAAAACCCTGCCACATCCCTCCTATTATCTGCATAATTGACTTCAGTTACCGGCTGCAGAGGAGGGGCTGGGCTGGAGGGGCAGCTTTTGGTTCTGAGGATCAGCCCTGGCTGGATCAGAGCAGTCAGGGGCTGGAAGTGTGTACAGATGCTGTGAGCGTTTGTGCCTGGGAAAAGGCCACGTTGAAGGTCAGGCTAAGTGGGAGTATTTCCCCATCCCATGTGGCCCAATTCTCCAGGGTAATTTACCGCATCGAGACTCAGTTTCTCCTCTGGGCATAACACCAAGAACAGGAGAAAAGTCAATACAGAGTTTCCAGGGCTGCCAAGTGTGAGTGAGCTCTTTCTTTAACAATGAGGCTGGTTGTGGTGGGGGAACCTTGGGGAAAGAGGAGAGAATATAAATCTTCATATAAACTGCATGGAGAATCATAAGAACCCTTCCATGCCAGCAGGTCAAGGCTTCCGATCATTGACTTTCCCTTGCTTATTTTTATTTTCGTTTGGATGGTGTGCACATGTATGTGTGCACTTGTGGAGGCCAGGGAAAGACATCAGACACCATGTTCTACCGTTCTCCGGTGAGAAAGGGTCTCTTGCCGAACCCGGAGTTA